CCCCAAAACCCCAAAACCCCAAAACCCCTTCCAGCTAAGAATTATTGAACTTATTGACAAAGATTAAAGGCTATCTTGCCAATGAGAAGCACTGAGAGTCCTTCTTACACCTAGAATTATGTAGAGAGCTTACCTTGCGCAGGTAGTATTATACACCGAGGCTTGATTCCTCCTTTTGTTCTTCCGACTAGGAACCATGTTTTTATAAAATTTCTTCTTCAGAAATGCTTGTGTGCTTTCCTGCATTATAGCATTTGCTTGCTATGAGATGTGATTCTATGTGCATACCACTTTAAGAGCTTTCTTGAAAATTCCTTTGTATTGCTCACTAGAATTGGTTAACCTTTGAAAAATCAGAATAGGTTTTAGCCAATTTAGTTAAACTTACCTTTTGTAAATTACATTTTCCTTGTAATTCCGAGCAGAAAATTGTAGCTCATTACTTGCATCCTTACGTTTAGACTTATTTAGCAGTCCCAGTCAGGGAATAAGAAGACTCTATTGAGAATTTATTAGGAACTGGGCTAAGGTTCTCATCTAAAAATTATCATAAATACTCAACTACCGGGTTTATTATGATTTCTTCTAGAATCACGATTAGTACTCAAATTTTGACTTTTCAAGGTATCATACAGAGAGATATTCTGCGGACTCATTTGAATCTTGAGATAACTCCCATTCATCAATGCTTTTAGAGATTGTTTCTTGACTTTTCTGGGAGGTTTGCCAGCCTTTACAATTTCAAACCTGCTTAAAGATTTAATAATCCTTTTCTTATTTTCTTAAGTCAAGATGTTCAAAGGGGATTCTTCCAGGAATGTTAATACATTTCCTAGCCTTATAAACTCTGACTTTAGCTAAAGCGTCAAGTTCATTCAGAGTGTCTTTGTAGGTGCCTTTTCCGGTGTCGACTCAGTCTGGAGCAGATGATTTTATCCTAAAGATCCCTTTTAACTCTTACTTTGCAAAGTCCTTCAGCTTCTTCAAAGAAGAAGTTTTGTTGTAATTTGCTGAAGAAAAGCAGTTAGAAAACTTGAATTAGTGAAAACTTACGAAATCCATTAGTAAATTTGGTAGGAATATAACAGATATTTCTGCTATGCTTCTTCTCTGTGCAACCCCATCCTATCTCTTTTAAGGTCTTAGAGATGCAGTTTGAGTTTAGGCTTGAATAGGAGCGTTGGCCTAAAGAATCAGCAGGAGTATTCGATGTTCTGCAATACTTGTTGATCCTCCTTGCTATCCCCTACAGTTGCATTAAGAAACAGGCTTGAAACCTGCAAATAATAATTTTCATAATAAAAGAAGTCTCTAAGAATCTCTCTGTTAGTCGTAAACTTACAGAATTCATCTTTTCAATTTTAATAATTACTGAAGGGGTTTTGGGGTTTTGGGGTTTTGGGGTTTTGGGG